AATGGAGTGAAAGAATTGGTCTCATTTCAGCCAGAGTTAGCTGCAGCTTTTGAGATTCCAAGATTGACTCCACAAGGTCCTGAATTAGTAGGGTGGGCTGGAGGCTGCTAGGTGAATAGGTATGCTGATAGGTTGGGCTTGGGGTGCTCACAGGTCTGGAGTGCACAGAGCTGGGATGGCCTGGTACAGGGAATTCTCAGGAATGTGAACTCAGGACCAGGATCTGGGGCAGGGAAAGATCCCAGAGACCGAAGCTGTCCTGAGTGCTGAGATGGCAGCAGGAGCTCCCCCTGCCAAGTCTCTGACACAGCACAGAGCTGGGGAGGGCGAGTGTCCCTGAAACCAAGGAAGAAAGAGCTGAGATGGTGGGGAACCTGGACATCACAGGAACAGGAGCTCAGGACCTCAATTCTGGTACTGGGATGGATCCGCAAGACCCAAGCTGGTTATTTGCTTGGGAAAGACATCCTTGGTCTTTGCCCTGTCTTTGTGTTTTAGAGAACTATGTAGAATGGTGAAGTTTTTCAGTTCATTATTCTCCTAAAAGAGCTGGAGTGGATCAAAATATTGGCATCCTCCCTCTTTCCGAAGGATTTTCAGATAACCTAAAGTGAAATCCAGGATGAGAGACTGCACACATCCTTGGGTGATGGTACAGAAGAGCACACAGGAGGAGGGAGCACTTCTTAGAAGAAGCGTCTTCCAGCCAGGCTGCCTCACCACCCAGTGCACAGTGAGCACAGGGAAGGAACAACCCTCATGGCCTCATCCTGACGGCTGTCCAGTTCCGGTGCCTCTTGAGCTGCTTCATGAAGGGAAGAGTTGGTGAGCAGTTAGACTGAATTCTCTGCAACACGAATCAAGTAAAAGCAGAGCCGAAGTTGTGGAGACGGAAGCTGAGTCATAAAGACAAGATCGTGTGTCACGAATGTTTGTGAGAAGAACACAGAATCCATTGCGATTTTAAAAAGCTAATTTCATGAGACATTTTGGTCAAGATTAATCTTAAATCAAGCTTTCCCTTGAAAGATTTGCTTCGAGAGTGCCTATACTATACCATCTGGGGAAGAACAGGTTTCCTGACTGAGCTCTCATCTTGCAGATCTCAACATGGCTTCCAACACTGACACCCACCCTATCCTTACTCTGAGTAGTTCACAGTATTTTAGATGTCTAGGAATTTGATCTGGGATTTATCACTGTTCTCCTGAAAGCTGGGTAAACACTGCTTAGAGAAAACATGTAACCCCTCTGTCTACAGGTGTGCTCCCCTGCAGCCCTCCTGTGAGCCTGGGTTTGTGCTCAGCTCCCCCTGCAGTTTCCCGCACTGTGTCACTCACAGCGCAGTAGTACAGGGCCGAGTCTGAGGGCTGCAGTGAGGACTTGTGCAGGTGGAAGGAGTTACTGCTCTTCACAAGCGTGGCCTGAAACCCTCGGTTCTCTGTCCTCTGGTTTTCAGTTGCCGTCTTCAGGAGCAGCTGAGGGGCTCTGTTGAGATCTTGGATGTACCAGAAAACCATGGGAACTGAATAAGTGGTCTGGTAGGTGCAGTTCAGCATTACAGATGCCCTCTCTGTGAGAGAAACTGGACCTTCTGTCTGGGTCACAGAATCTCCATTGCTCTTCTCTAGAAAAAATAAAATTGCTTTGTTAAAAGGTTTAAAAGCTGAAGGTTGTTATGACTTTAAAAATGAATTGTCGTTAGTCCTTAGGATAAAACATGACTTACTGAAGAGTACGAGGATCACAAGCCCCAAGCGGGTAACAGAAAACATGTTGCTAGAAGGAACTGATCCTTGCTTCTTTCAATACACCAAATATTGCAGGGCTAAGCTCCAGAAAGACTGTGTAGTAAGCAGTCACTCACAGGCAAGAATGTTTTGTACGACAAGCATCTTTCTTCTGACTACAAAGACAATAGGCGTGTTCAACAGAGATCATAATGCAAATGAAGCCACATCTAGAATGCTCTGATCTCTGCTGGTTTCCGTGCATGATCTACCAAAGTTTTGTTTAATGCTGTTTTTAATTCTACAGCAAATGTTGTTATGAAGAAGTCATGTCCAAGACCTCCAATGCATGACTATTTCCTACGCTATGCAATGACTAATTCTGTAATAGTCCACAGTGGATACTGTTATTAAAAGATAAGAGCCTTTTCAACAAGATGAGTAGGGTACTCTCTACCAGTGACGCTGAAATGGCGTCTGTAGAGGACATATTTGAATAACTAGATGTTGACTCTTGAGACCTGTTATCTAACTAAGAAGTCACTCTCATCATGAATCATTAAAAATGTTCTATCACTCATTATATCTTATTTTAATAAATATCTTGTTTGTTATTTTTATTTTCTCTGTACCAGTGTATTGCCTATGTGTGTGTAAGCGCACCCATGTCGTGCAATGCCCACAATGGTCAGAATAGTGTGTTGAGTCTCCTGGAACTGGAGTTACGATGGTTGTTCCCTACCATGCGGGTGCTGGGAATTGAACCTGGGTCCTTGTAAGAGCAGCTAGTACTCTTAACCACTGAACCATCTCCCCAGCCCACTCACTGTATTTTTTGGAAACAGAGTTTCAGGATGTTTTAGATGGTTCAACTACTAAGGATCCAACACAGAAAAATCATGATTTCAAGGGTAGAAAAAAAGTCTGTAGTCCTGGTCTCAGGTTTGGGTACAGACAGCAGGTACCTGGGGCACACCATGCTTCTGCTGCACAGAAGTATTAGGCTGAGTCCTCAGCATGGGCAGCTGTGATGTGCAGGGAGAGCTGTCTGTGGAGGTGCATTTGATGATGGAGCTGTCTCCCTCCCTCAGGAAATGGAGGACTCAGGAAAGAAGGACTCTGCTCCAGCTGCTCTCTTCTGCTCACACCTGTGTGAAAGGAAACATCAGGAAGAGCATCAGGTATCATTCTCCAGACTTTGCTTTTTTCTTACAGTAGTTCTGGCAATCTGGAGAAGGTCAGTCTGCTCTTCAGACTTAATAGTAAACACCACTAACAAACTTGTTTCCCAAAAGCTCTCAGCTCACAGTCCAGCTTTAGCCACATGCACAGGACCAAAGGTCCCATCAGCGTCTTCATTGTGACCCTTGGGACTGTGGCCTCCAGCCAGGCAAGGTGTGTGTTATCAGGTTACCTCCTCTTTCCTCCCCAGCACAGCAGGTTCCTAAACTATCTGCACAGAGCACTGCTTCTGTGTGCAGCCTGCTCCTAGAGAAGTCAACCAGAAGTCCCTTCTAAGTTCTGCAGCTGCGGAGATGGCTGCGGAGATGCTCTGCCATCTTGTGGCCAGATCCTGCTCAACGAGCTGTTCAAGCTCTTACCTTGCACAGGGACTTGCTTCAATTCCTTTATTCAACATTTGTCCTTAGACTATAGAATCCAGAGTTTAGAAATGGTTGAATTTTATCTTTCTGTAGGACACAGCTCCACATATATACTGTAATGTTAGAGTAAGTATTTCTGGGTCATTCCTGACAGCTGTGTCCATCCTGCAGGGTAGTTAGTGCTAAGCAGAATTAGAAAGCGTTGAGACCTGCCCTCCAGTAACAGGTTTCTGTGATCACCTGCCTCCCTCACATCCCATCATACTCAGGAGACAATGCTTGGCTGAGACATTAGCCCCCACCACTGAACACCCCAACTGGGATGTTTCTGGAGCCAGTGAGAACCTTCCATGAAAAGAGGCTGCAAAACTAACAGTGATCAGAAACAGGTTCTGGTATATAAGGAAGGGAAGTCCCTAAAGTGACTGCAGTATTTTTGAGTAACTAATCACAAAAAGGACAGGCATGTCCTGGTGCATAACACTTTGTTTCTTCAGTACCCACTCACCTTTAGAAGGTAGCTTTGTTCACAGTTGAGCTATCAACATCTCACTCATCTCTAGGCAGACAATCCAAACTAAAAAATCCAGGAATAGAATTTCAGAATTAAAATATACCATAGATCAAGTGGCCTTAGCAGTTATAGAACAGTCCACTAGGAGCTGTTGAGTGACATTCATTATTCACCATAATCTAAGCTTTTTCAAATACAAGAAATTTAAATGATGTCTCATATCTTATCTGATTATTATAGAATAAACTTAGAAATCAATAGAAGAGAAACTACAGACATCATCTAATTATGTTGGGATAGAAATAAATTGCTAGTGATGTATTTGAAGTACAAACATGTAAGAAACTTAAAATACTTAGAATCTGGGGCTGGGAAGGGCACTGTTTGCTCTTGCAGAGGAATGGGGTTCAAATCCTACCCACATACTGGCTAGCAACCATCCTGCCACTAACAACCTTCTATAACTCCAGTTCCAGTGTCTCCGACACCCTCTTCTGTCCTCCCTGGGCATTGCATGACATGGATGCGCTTACATACATACATGCAGGCATAACATTCATACACATGAAATTAAAATGAATAACAATTTGAATCAGTCTCCTGTCCTTGTGCTTAGACCTGTCCTTCTGGGGAAGCTTGAAAATGCCTGACTCAGCCTCCAGCTTCCAGAGGAGTGAGCAGCCCAAACCTTGTGGCACCTGTCCCTTGCTTTGGGGAGATCTCTAATCCCTCACAGTGCTCCAGGGCTCAGGCTTCCCTGTTGTCTCTAATGAGCAGGCACATCTCTTCCCATTCTCTCTCCTTGAGCCTTGAACCTATGCCCCCGAGGCAGCCTGAGCATGCCTGATTTGGCCTCCAGGCAGTGTGGTAGCCTAATTCTGCATTCATTATTCTGCTTTGGGATCATGTCTCATCCCTCTACCCAATCCATAAATTGAAGAATAAAACTTATTATCTGCCATTCAGTGTAAAATAAATTCCAAATGGACCAAGAACCTTAATGTGAGACTTGAAACTTTAAAACTGTTGGAAAAAAATAGAGAATCTGATTCAAGAGGAGGCTTAGGCAAAGACTTTCTGAAAAAGACTCCAATAGTTTAGGAAATAATTACAAGAATGTTAACAAATGGGAGGCTGGTGGGTAAAAGCTCTTGCTGTACAATCCTGGGGACCTGAGTTTGATCTTTAGAACCCACATACATGTGGAAAGAGAGAACAGAACTGACTCCAGAAAGTTGTTCTCTGTCCACCACCTATGGATCGAGGCATGAGTGCCCTCTACAGCATACACTAATAATAATAATAAATAATAATAAAAATAACAATGAACAGATAGTGTTGCATGAAATTTATGAGGATCTGTTTATTTTTAAAAAGTAACACTTAACAGAATGAAGAGGATGACTATGGAGTGGGAGAAAATGTTTGCCAATTAGACATCTGACGTGGATTAATATCTGGAATCTACAAAGATCTTAAACAATTAAACACCACAAAACCCCAAGTAATATAATCCATAAATCAGCTAATGACTTGAAAGAGAGTTCTCAAAACAAGAAATAAGCATATGACAGAAAATTCCAATATCTCCTAACCATAAGGAAAAGTTCAAATGAAAACCACTTTCAGATTCCATCTCACCCACTCAGAACTGTCATCGCCTAGAAAACAAATGAAAACAAACGCTAGTGAGGATGTAGAGAGTCAGAAACCTTATATCGTTTGTGGGAACATAAACTAGCACAGCCACTGTGGAAATCAGTTACAGAGCTTGTCAAATCATTGGAGACAGAAATACCCTATGATTCAATTATACCACTCTTATGAATATGCCGAAAGGCAACTAAGGCAGTTTTCTACAGCTTTCCACGATCACATTCATGTTTATTGCAGCGCTTTTCAAAATACCCAAGATTCAGAATTGCTCAAATGCCCATCATCAAAGGAATGTGTAAAGAAAATGAGTTTATACACAGGGAGTTTATTCAGTTGTAGAGAAGAATGAATTATATCACTGCAGGAAACTGATTGAATTGGAGATTATTATGGAAAGCAAAACAAACTAGAATCAGGAAGGCAAATATCAATGGTTTGTGGAACCTAGGTTTCCAGTACATCTATTTCCATATCTCTGTCATCTATCATTTATCTATCTATTTATCTATAGATCATCTATCTATCTATCTATCTATCTATCTATCTATCTATCTATCTATCTATCTATCTATTATCATCTATCATCTATCAACTATCTATCTATCATCTATATATCATCTATCATCTATCTATCATCTATCTTTCATCTATCTATCTATCATCTATCTATCGTCCATATATCATCTATCATCTATCATCTATCTTTCATCTATCTATCTATCTATCTATCTATTTTCATCTATCTATCTATCATCTATCTATCTATTTATCTATCTATCTATCACCTATCATCTATCTATCTATCTGTCTGTCCATATGTCTGTCTATCTATCTATATCTATCTGTCTGTCTATCCTCTGCCTTCCTACATACCTGAAGGATAGCCGTTAGAGGAGGAAGAAGTGTTCAAAAGGAGAGAGGAGAAGAAAGTAAGAAAGAATACCAGGAGGCAACAGGAAAGAGAAACACTACATGGGTCCATTCAGTAAGACTCTGCCTTGGTTTCCTCTAGAGTTGACTGTGGCCTCTCAAGAGGAGTGGAGGGAAGGCTCTGCTATGACAATAGCTTTGTAGCATTGGGCAAAGTATTCGATCTCTCACATATCCAGGTTTTTTTAAAAGTAACTTTTCAATTGTGGTTGGCACTGGGCTAATCACTGGCCTGCATGATTTCATTTTTTTATCTTGACCATTTCAGTAGATATTACAAGGAGGAATCTGTGCATGAAAATCATGAGCCAATCATTTCACTTCCACTCAAACCATAAGTGGTAGGTCTAGAACTTCAAAACAAGTCT